AAAAAAAAAAAAAAAAAAGATGCTTATAATGCTACAAACTAGTCAGCACAGAAAACAAAAAAAGATAAAGCTAAAAACAAGAAAACCTTACCTGATTCTCAATCCAAGAGCCCTTAACTCAAATAGGCAGAAATAAGAATATAAGAATAAGAAATAAGAATATGTAAAGGACTTAACAAAAACAGACAGCCCAATATAGCCTCAACCAAAATATGTCCGCTAATTGCATTTTCTTCAGGAAACGTACATCAGAATGTACAAGACTAGGATTTTTTTGAACAAATCTTGCATCAAGAAGAGGATATGAATTACTTAGTACTGATAACCAGCTAAGTATCTGCCATTACTGCTTGAATTACCATCTCACTGAATAATCCCAGTAGTAAAATACTCACAAATAACTCAAATTACTTCCTGATGCAACTACAAAAATGTAGGCAGTTTGCTTGCACCCCTGGGACCCTACAGGCCACAGCTCTACCTAAAGCCGTATCATGCAAGAACTTCTTACCCAGTGAAGGCAAATGAAATGCTACCAGGTTTTTGAACTGGAATGTTTCCCAAAGGCCCATCTATTAAAGGTTTGGTTCCCAGGTTGGTGGTTTTAGGAAGCAGTAGAACCTTTAAGAAATAGTAGGCCTAGTGAGAGAGCAGTCTTAGATCACTGGGGCATGCGCAGTCTCTTCCTATCTCTCTCTCTCCTCCCTCCCTCCCCTTTGCCCCCCTCTGTTTCTCAGCTGAATTAGATGAGCAGTTTTTTCTACCACACACTCCCCTGAACAACTTACTGCCTCATCACAGGCCCAAAAGCAACAGGGTCAACTGACTGTGGATGGGAGCCTCTGAAAGAGTAAAGCAAAATACTTTTCTCTTTATGAGCTGATGACCTCAGGTGTTTTGCTACAGTAAGGAAAAGCTAATTTGTGCTATATAGGGCAGGGGACATAGCTCAGTGGCACAGTGCCTGCCTGGCAAACACAAGGTTACAAGTTCAATTTCTGCCCCTCAGAAAAGAAAAGAAATAAAGAAATAATAATATGTGCTATATATATGCAAAATATCAAATGGCTTACCCTATTTTTAGTGTAACGAACTCTGCCTGAAGCAATCCCAAGTCTCTGAAAATAAGCTTCAAAATCACTTCCAGATCCCAGTTTATTGATTCTAGATGTGGAATACAAATGAATAAATAAAAATAAGTAATATAAAATTAAATAGATAGGATCATGAATCCTGCTGAAAGAACAGCAAGGAATCACCTGGAACATTTGTCATAAGAATTAGAAAAAGATCAATAACCCTCAAGATACTTACCTATCATGTGCTGAAGAACTGCTGTGCTAAACCTAAACATCTATATGAATAAAACCAGAACTGGGAAGTGCCACCAAAACTGCAGCGCAGGGGTAATGCTGACTTCCATTATTGTTATTTATTACTTTATTTTGATTTGCTATTAAGTTCTGGCCTTGTACTCACTACTTGAACCAGGCTGGCCTCAAACTCACAATGGTCCTCCTGCCTCAGCCTCCTGAGTGATGGGATTAATGACATGCACATCCAGCTTGTTTCCCATTATTTTTAGTGCTTATATCCTTTTAGAGGAGATAACAATGAAGTCATGGGCCCTCCTTACTCTTGGAGAACTACAGTGTGATTAAAAAACTGTCATGAGGGGTCTATATTTAAGGTCATGCAAAATCTAAGCATGTCTTCTTTCACTTCAGAAAAAGTCTAATTATGATATATTTATTTATTATGAAAAAATCATTATACACACATATAAGTATGTTCCTAAATATAGTATGTATGTAAGGATATAGAGATTTTTTAGATATATAATGGTAAGTCACTAAAGCAAAATATAAAATTATATATGTATTAAGAATGCAACTACAGGGCCGGGGATTTAGCTCAGCGGTTCGGTGGCCTGCCTTGCAAGCGCAAGGATGCGAGTTCAATCCCCGCTACCAA